TTTATTATGTATAAATATATGTTAATATTAATAAACTGTGTGTATACATTACTAACCAAAAATTGTTCATTTTCTAAAATAAAATTGTCATTTTGACTATCCAATATTTGAACAGCGCCACTTACTCTGTGGTGTTTGACGACTATATCCGTCATCATCGCTTGATTATCGTAACACACACCGGAACGCGATTTTACGTACAGATCGTCGCCACACTTAACTGGTTAAATGTATATTATGATTATTTCATATTAATTTACTATAATTGTCCAATATCGATATTTCCAAATGTGTCATAAGTTTGTATAGATATTAAACGTTCCAATGTTGGTAAATCAGAATGTAAGGCACGACGATAACCACTTATTTGTGGAACATATTCTTTTTTACATCTTCCAGTATTTGAATCGATCAAACATGTACTAATATTAAACATTGTCAAACACAATTAGAATATTTCAATTTAAACAGTATAGATATATATATAAATATATATATCATCGTAAAAAAAGATCAAATAGTAATTTTTTGATAGAAGATAGATAAACAAAAAAAGAAAATATTGTCAAGATGAAGTAACTAAGAGTGTGTATATAACAGGTATCGTTTGAAGATTGCCACACAATTGATAAATATCTATATATGTATATTTGAATAAGTGACGTAACTCAGTGGCGTCGTCAAGTTACGAAAAAAAAAATGAAAACATGAATAACAGAAAAAGAAAAGAAAAAAAAAAACAAAATATATAGAAAATATTAATAAACCTTTTTTCAAATGATTATAATATTATGTTTTTTTTTTTTTTTTTTTTTAAAGAAAGTATATTTTTTATTTGTACGTCTTGTACTTCGTAACACTGACAATTACTTGAAAGATGTTATATCCCTTTTAAAGGTTCGATTGAACAATGCATTTGTACGAACGGAAGTATCCACTCTTATACACACACACACACATACTTACTTTTAAGTATTTCCTATCATGTGTGTGTGTGTGTTTTTGTGTGTGTGTGGATATGCAAAGTTTTATAAATGTAAATGAAAATAACAGATATTAATTTCATCTTCCGTATTAGAAGGATTTCCGTGTTGAAGAAGATAATAGCCAGTGTCCGGATTTTACACCCTTTTCAATTTATTATTAATATCATAAACTCAGGAAATATATATTTAACGAGTTAATCATTATAAATCGATATTTAGAATTAGAAATTGATTTTAAGAATTATATGAACATTATAATTATTAATCTTAGTTGATAAAATAATATTATTAACAAATTGATATATGTAAAATATAATTTACGAAAAAGTGTCATTTAATTTGAGATTTTTTTTGTTTGTTTGTTCATTTATTACACATTTATGATACTACACGAATAATATTATATTAATTTATATATATATATATATATATATATATTAATATTATAATTATATAAATTTAAAATAAAAAATTATTATTATTTATTTTTTTATTAATTAATTATTATATTATTATTTAAAATCATATAAATTCTAAATTATATAAATTATATTACATTTTAAACAATTTTCATAAAAAGTTTGATATAATTAAATATTAAAATATTAATATAGATATTTAACAAATTTATAAATTATTATTATTTAATTAATTATTATTTATTATTTAAAATTTAAAATTTAAAAATATATAAATTATATTAATTTATATATATATATATATTATAATATTAATATTATATTATTATATTATACATTATATTATTGGTGTAGTATCACATATAATTAAAATTAAAATAATATAATTATATTATTATATATAATTACTAATATAATATATTAAAAAATAATAATTATATTACATTTAATTAAATATTATATTATATATTTCTACAATTATAAAAAAAAAAACAAAAATATATCACCACCAAATGTTTAAATGACACCCATTTCCAAAATCCGCCTAATTTATTATTATAATCTCAAAATACTTATATATATATATATATATATAACAATATAGTTTTTGGATAATTTCCAAAAATCATTTGTAGTTAAAGTACTCAATAAATATTAAAAATACATTTACTGTATATCGTATTCTTACGTAAAAAAGAATATTTTTTAAAGAAGAAAATTAATTGATAATACAATAATAATATGTATAAATAATTCTTGAATGATTTTCAATCTCATTTATCTTTCTACACATTTTCTCTTAAGAGATCTTATAATTTGTAATTACCGACGCGAAAAATGATTCTTGAATCGATGCCATTCATCTCCTCTCACGTTCATACAAGCTTTATAAGATCATGTTTGAAGCCACTCCTACAACTTGAAAAACATTCCGGCGTTCGTTGAACCATGAGAAAGATAGAAAGAGAAAGAAAGAGAGAGAAAGAAAAAGAAAGAGAGAGGATTAGAAACAAACACCATATATACATATATATATATATACACGTATAATACAAATAATATCAAACAAAAAATAATAAAAAATAATTTTTCTATCAATTTTTTGTTAGTATTCTTTTGATCTAGATTATAGTTGTATCCTTTTAGATATTTGTTTGATCAATAAATAATAAAATTGATTAAAACAAGATTAACCATTAGTAAATAAGAACAACTTGTACAAACAGTAGTATTTATACAGTCAAGCAAGACAAACGTTCCACTGTTAGTCTGTATCAAATTTCTCGTCGAAGGAATTAGCAAAGGAATTAGATATGCAAACTCGCTAAATGGTATATACATACTATATATATATATATATACATATATACATACATATGTATAATAATTATTTTTATATATGCTTTGTGGTTGAACGTTAATATAACATCGTAATAAAGATATTTCTATAAATGATATTGCAAGTAGAAAATTATTCAAATGTTTCTTAATTGGCAATGTTACAATTTAAAAAAAAAAAAAAACAAGATATACAGTAAAGAGTATAACTGAACCATTAACCACTAGTTTTGTATTAATCTTTATTCATTTACATTCTTAGCAATAAATAAAGATTTATACAAAACTAGTGGTTATTAGTTCAGTTATACTCTTTTTACTGTATATATATATATAATAAAATCTAACTAATTTTATAAACATTAATATAATTAAATTATTCTATAAATATTATTTATTTTAAATCAATCGGAAAACTTTTGACCTATATTGTTTCAGAAATCAAAATTAATTGAATATTATTTAAATTTTTTAAGGAAGAGCTTATTTTTGTAATATTTGTGAAAAAATATTTTTTTAAAAAATATTTAGATATATATTATATAATAATATATATTATAATATATATAGTAATAGTAATTAAGTAATTACTATTATTATATATTATTTTTAGTGTACTATATTATATTAATTAGTATAATATATTAAATTAATATAGATATTAGTTTACTAATAATTAATTTACTATTACTATATATATACTATATATATAATATATAATATTATATATATTTATAGTATTATATAATATAATATAATAATAATATAAAATATAATATATTAATTAATATTACTATAAAGTAGTAATATTAATTAATATAAGTAATTATAGTATGTTAATATATATTATTATATAATATAATATATATAATAATATATATATTAATATACTAATATACTAATACATTTGTTATGCTAATTGGACTGTTATGTTTTTACTGTACAATTTATTATTGATATTAAATTCTACCTTGTTTTTTTTATCTTCGTTCTTTCGTTTTAGAAAAAAGAGTTTTGTTTTCGGAGTCCTTGTAGACACGACACTAACAACAACCCTCCTCACTCGTTCGAAGCACGCACACGACTGACATTTGAGATTTCAAGTTCGAACGTGTAGTACGTAATAATAAAGCCAGCAAGGAGAGGGAGAAAAGGATGCTGTCTGTGCTCGTTCTTGTAAATACGTACTGTAAATAATGTCTCATATATATATATATACATACAACATACATACATGCATGCATGCATGGATATRAGGATTTTGCACTATACTTTTTTTTATAATATTTGTTTTTTTTTTTAAATTATAGGAATTAAATAAATATTCGATATTTAAAAATATAATGTTTTTTTTTTTTTTTAATGATCTTCATCCATTGTAACAGAATGCATTTTTCTTTCTTCCTTTCTTTCTTCTTTCTTTAACAATAAATGTTATCGATACATACATATGTGATATTTTTTGGTTTGTTTGTTTGTTTGTTTGTTTATTGTTATTAATTTTTTTTTTAAACAGATCATTTCGAGTTATTTGGATTTTTATATAAGAAGAGAAAACAAAGTGATATGAATATATTTATTCATTTTACACTCCCCTACTATTTTTCTATTTATATAATCTAAAATATTTGTTAAAGTACATCTTGCCTTTCGCATTTCTTTTATTTTATTTTATTTTATTTCATAGATAAATTCTTTCATTTTATTATTATTATTATTATAATTAATGAATTAACACATTCGTGATCGGTGTTGTTGTCACCAAACGTAACATTTAACTTTGTGAATATATTTGACATATAATTATAATATTAAATAACTTTGTTAAGAAATAATATCACAATTTGTAATAAATTTAACAATAAAATAGAATACATACATATGTGTTCATAATTATGAAAGTGGTCAAAGTCAAAATTAAAAAAAAAAAAAAAACAAACAAATCAGTTTATTAATTATTACGCACAACATTATTTTAAACTAAATAAATTCAATGTAATTTGAAAAGGATATTGTCAAAAATGAATCGTTAGATAATGTTTGTTGTTTCAATATTACATAAAATTAAAACAAACAAGAGATACATGACTTAAATCACTTTCATAATTATGAGCAAAAAAATTTAACAAAGAAATTAATAATTATTAAATATATCATCTAATGGCATAGAATTACAACTATCAATATTTAAATAATTTAGTAATTATATCACCATTATTAATGTAAATAATTGTAAATGACGTTTGGACTATTTTATAGATCACGAATATGTTAATAAAATTGTCAATATTTGATTGTATCAATTCGATGGATTTATTAAATCCAATTTAATAAATTTTCTCTTTTTTTTATTTTATACATATATAAATTATTTGATTTCATTAAGATTAATATGTTTTTCAAGAAAATAATATTTATATTTAAGTGTATATATATATATATATATATATATATATTAAGTAATAATGTATACCAGGGATCGGCAACCTTTTGAGTCGGAAGAGGCAAAAATTACAATTTAAAAAATTTCAAAGTTTTTTAAAGAGTCACAACATTTTTTTCTTGTCAACAATAAATTGTACTAATAAATAAAGCTTTTTGATGAAAAAAAAAACTGATCTATTTATTCATCGGGGTGCCTAATCCTCGTTAATCGATTTCGAACAATTTTTCAATAACTAAAGAGCCGCATGTGGCTCG